ATTGTATATTCACAACTGTGGGAAAGGTACATTATTTGAACTATTGTCCTCATCTTTGTTGCCATATTTATTACAACATTTCAGCCGTTGTATGCTCTGGCCTTCTTCAAGTGGTTTGAATGTCGAACTGAACCCTTTATTTTGCTCACTAGGGCAGACTGTTCTAGTTCCACGTACCATGTTTAATGGATGCCAGTCATCAGTTAAAAAAAAAAAAAAAAACGGTGGATAAAGGCATTGGTTAGATCCAGTGACAGGACCCAAAGAGTGTGAGTTCAATACCCGGTTAAGGCAGTGGAGAACTTTCAGAGGGAAATTAACAGGAGATAACTGATAACGGACATCCATTAAACATGGCACGTGGAACTAGAACAGTCTACCCCAGTGAGTGAAATAAGGGTTCAGTTCGGCATTCCAATCCACCTGAAGAAGGCGGGTCTACAACGGCGAAAACATTGTAATAAATATGGTGACAAAGATGAGGACAATAGTCTGAATAATGTAAATAATGTACATAATACCTCATCTCAAAAATATAGACAGATACCGTGGAAAAGGGTTTTTTTTTTAATAGTTTCTCTATCTCGTACAGTTTTCAAGGAAATGAATAGAAGGCATTATTTTCGGAGCACTCCCCAATTAGAAATATAAATCTCATATTGTGCAAAATTAACTCTTCCTTCCTGTTCCTATTCAAAGAAAAAGTAAGTCAAAAAGTGTGAAATTAGAAAATATTAAAATCTATGTGGAGACTTTTTAAAAATATTTTTGAGGATAAATATTTTGAGTAAATTTGGAACAATAATATGTATTAAATATTGAGTATTCTGCTTATGTCGCCTGTACCACTTTCTCTTTTTACTACACACCATGAGCATCATCTACAGAATTACTACTCTCCCCTAATAAGCAATATAGTCACTTATATAGTAAGTGGCAGGTGTTGATATATTTGCTTAGATGTGATGTCCATTTCATCAAATCACAGTTGATGCACACGTGCATGTAGGCCTCGAACTGGATTTTCTGTTACAGCTGCAGTAACTCGAAGACACTTTATACTAGGTAAGCCATGCTCTGTAGCTTTATAAATAGCTAAAATATACTTTAAAATTCAATTGACTGCTTAAAAAAAAAAATAAAGTCTTTGTAGCAACAGTTGGAAGTGACCGGCAAAAAGCAGATATAAATCTTTTGTTGGCATGAAAATTTTCTCTGTAAATTTCCATAAAATATCTACGATGCTGATCAAACTCTATATTATGTATTTGTGCTTTTTTTTTTTTATTCACTTTTCTGTTTACATGTTTAGAAAGAAGGTAAAATTTATGTTAGAACCAATAGCCATTTAGTACAATGGAGGCAAATTTGTTATGGGGGTAGCTATGTATGCAGCCAGTGCGATTATGATGGACACTGCTGAACAGAGGGCTTCCTAGACTGAAGTCAATGACCACAGTGGAATGTTCCCTGATGAAATCAATGACTCATATGTGACCAAGGTGAGCCTTCAAAATGATTTCTTGGTCCGATTTCACCACAGGGACATTAATTATGGTTTGACCTGAAAAAGAACAGTCTCCAACAGGTCTATTTGTGTAAGACGCTCTACACATGAATGAATATCTCTCTGGCTTTCATTCCAGATATGTGGTTGGAACTGGTCATTGACTCAACTCTGCTGTGACCTTACGGCCATAACAGTTCATGTGGTTGATGTTTAAATGCTTTGCATTATAGATTTCATACTGAATAACTTTTCAACTTTAAACTTTGCAAAGAAGGCATTGAATTCTTCTTTTCTTTGTACTGTTTTTGGCCACCACTGACTAAATCTTCAATTATTTTTTCATAGGAAGGGTACTGAGAAAATCCCAAGAGTTTTGAATGCACCACTTATTCCACATGTTTCCTTTGAGAAATAATTATAAAATATTTTTTTAAAGTTTACATAATAAGAGTGATGATTCAAGCATTTACTTTCTTGAATTGAAGGCCACTCTGTATAGAAAGAAAATGAATAGAAGTGACTATAATAATGGAAGTTGTGGAAAAAAGTGTCTGTAAAAATTGGGTCATATATATATATATATATATATATATATATAAGTAAAAATGAATGAAACTGAGTTCTCTCCTGAAATTCTTTTAATAAGTAGTGATTGTATGTTGAACTTTTTAAAATTGTAATGTCTGCCTCTAGCTTTCTAAAATATCTTGAAATAAGATATTAACTTGATGGATGTCATCAAAATATCTTGTATACATTTGCTCTGACAGAGCTCTATTATTTGGCCTCATATTATCCAACATGGAGAGTTGCTGAACAAAGTCAGCTCAAACATATACCAGTGTATATTGCTTATAGCAATGCTATCAGAATAATTGATAACTTTCTTGGTTGTGGAGATAATAGGAAAATTTTCAAAACTCAAAATTCTTTACTGCTCTTACTTCTATAACTCTAGTCTCAGAACTTCAAAATTTTTATATGAATACTTACTAAAAGATTCTAGTTTTGTTTGTTACTAAAGCAATACGTTTTAGATAAGTTTAAAAAAATATGGTTAGTTTTATATATATATATATATATATATATATATATATATATATATATATAAAGGCAGTTGTTTGTATGTGTGGGTCTGGCTAAAACTAAAAAACTACAATAATTAACAAAATAAATTCATATACAGGCTATCACCTAAGCCAGCTTTTTGTAAAAAAATTATTGTATGATTTGTATTTGTGAAGATATTTTAAAATTAAAATGCATTAGAATGCATTCGAAATTCTCAGAATTAAAAAGTAAAAATGAATGGTAAGAATTCTTATTCTCAAATCGGATTATTGTTTATTATTACTTTTTTATTCTGCTAAATTCTATACATGTATGTATTTTAAAATTTTTTATTCTCTTGAATTTATTTCTCATTTAACTGTAACTTTAAAAAAAAAAATATTAAAACAACAAAGTAAATTTAAAAGAAGAATATTAAATACAATTATTTGACAAAAAGTTTAATATTTATTTATTCAAAATATTCATGTGTGTGTGTGTGTCTGGCTACAAAATAAATATACAGACTAAAGGGCAGGTTTGGGGATGAGTACATGTGTGTGTGTGTGTGTGTGTTTTTTTTTATTGACTTAATATTTTTGTTTTTGGCCATCTTAAGGGAAATAATTTTTTTTATTCAATCTTTAAAAAATAAACTTCATTGTTTTTTGGTTTGTAACTAACATAAAAATTAAATAAGTTTCAATTAAATTTTATTTTTTCGAAAATTAATTTAAATAAAATATAGTTGATTTCATAAAACAAATAGCCAACACTAATTAATGTTGACCGTAAGTAATGTCTGTCTCTCCTAATTTTTATTTAACTAAAGTTTTTTTTTCTTTTCAAATATGACTATAAATTGAAATTTAAACATAATCACTTTTCAAAACTAAATTCTCAATGTATCTTGCTTCTACTCTCTTTCAAAACAGTAATTAATGTATAGAAGTAAAACTTTATTTACTTAAAAAAAATCTAAATTCTCCTCCGAAATAAATAGTAAATAATTATTTTTCAAAGAAGTAAAGCTCGCTATAGTTTTTGCATAAAAAATGATTAAATTAAATATGTTTAAATATATCTTAATTTAAGTTTATTAACATTTTTATTAATAATAATTTGAAAAAAGGTTAATGAACTTTTATCTAAGTTTGATTTGAAAACATTAACAGTATTTATGCTAGTATTTAAATTGTAAAATAAAGTATCTTTTTGAATAAAAATATGGGGATGCTTAGTCCTCTAAGCCAGCCAAGTGTGGTATTGGTGGTGTGGTGTTTTCCTAAATTTAGTTATTTTGTAACAAAGTAAACTGAAAAATATCACTAAATTGTCAATAATAAACTATTATTCAGAGATCTTCCGAGTAATGCCGGGTATTCCTGCTAATTAAAAATAAAAATATTTTGTTCATGCCAATGCCTAATGCTTGATTTGATAAAGGTTGCACTGACACATTTATTTAGTAATACCAACCATTTTCATTTTTTTTTTGTTTTTTATAATTGCATTTCTCTATCTGTCCATGGTTGATAGATATCTGTACAAATGTATGGTTTAGTGCTGAATATTTTATCTTAGCTCAATAAGTACCCGAGACACTTATCTGGATGTTCATCATTTTAGCTTGTTAGTTTCCAGGCTTGGTTTTGACATGATTAGCTTGGCCATGTAGAGATATTGCATAAGCTATTTGCTGTAACCTAGAAAGGGTTACTGAATGAGGAATAACAAAAACGGAGGTTGGAAATGAAATGGCAATCTTTATAACATCAACAAAATACAATACTCGCCAGTAGCTTGAAGTAGGTAAGCCACTGCTTGTTGTGGACTACTTAGACAGCATATTACCCCACCCTTACAATAGTCTCCAACGTATTTATGAAGATTGGGACATACCTATTAGTGTTCATAGGTACAGAAATAAAAAGCAGCTCTCATTTAAGAACTGATATTGTACTTTTGTTTTGGCATGTGTATCTACTGATTATTTTTTTTATAATATCCATATGTGGTATAAATATAATATCAATGATATTGTTCCAGTTATTTATCCAGATTTTAAATAAACTTTTTATTTTTTTTATTTTAAATTATCTTAAATGTTAAAATTACACCAATTTTAAGTTTTGCATACTTATCTTCATTATTCTATGGAAAAACAAACCTGTGCTTGTTGATTGATGTCAATCATTGAATCTTGTGATCAAAATGCTATTACAATATTATAATGAAAGGATAAACCTTTGATAATCAGATAACCAAGACAAATCTTGTCATCTTTGATTTCATGTTGTAAAATAAGGACTGCCTTCCCTCAGCCTATATGGCAGCAAATTTTGGGCATTTTTAATCAAAAATGAAAAACAATGAATGCAAAACAGTATACTTTAAACAATTAACATGATCATCTTTTTCTCCTATTTTTGAATTTCAGATTGGACAATGTTCCAGCCAAACATGTGGCCAGATTGGTTGGTCCTGATATTCTTGTTTGTTTTATGGCCATCTTAGTATTTGCCATCTGCAGCAATGTCCTCAAAGAGACTACCAAAGAATCTGATCTGCCAACAGTTACTAAGACCAGAAAACGACGCATGAAGAAGATCATTGACTGTTCCAAGATGATTGCCCTGATGCTTTTGCTTGCTGCCAGTGGTATTATTGTACCTTCTATCATAGGATCTGTCTACTTTTTCACCTTTCTCATTGCTGTCACATGGTGGTCCTTTGGTTACTCTCTCGGAACTAAATTCTCCATCTTCAAATTTTTCATCCTTGTCTATGTTGGATTGCATTTGTGTGTTTTGTACCTTTACCAGTTTCCATTCTTCAACAAAGAATTCCTTGCGGAGTCAATGCTTGCTCGGTAAGTCTGACAGTTTTCTTTTCTGGATGACACTTGTAGCACAGGTAGTAGAGATGCTCCAGTGATGAGCATAATTGTTTATACAGTCATATTAATGATTGACTATTTTTGTAAATTTATTTATTAAGGCATTGTTAGGTAACTTCTCTGTAATTCTGAGGATGTGCGGGTGGTGTAATGGATAACAGCACTGAATGAGAAATTGGAGAGCTGAGTTCTAATTCCAGTCAAGTCTGTTACATTCACTTATGTGCAAATAGCCTTGGGAAAGGCATGAATCCATCTCTTCTCCTCTCAGTGTGAATTATGAAATATGACTTGTATCTGAAAAAAATCATTCTCCCGAAAATTGTTAATGCAGTATTCACTTAAAAAACAAAAGAATTATTCTTACATGTTTCACTTTAACTAAACTGTAGAAACTTGTGAGACTATATGTCTATCAAACTCCCCATATGCATAGCCCACCTTGTTTATATTTGAGGTTAACCAATGTGTTGGAATTCACTTCTGGGAGTGTTACATACAATGGCATTAGGAGCACTTTTGGTTCTTCTGGCTGGCTTAGTTACAACATAACCTAAAAAGGGTTGATAAACCATAAAAGAACAAATCAGTCAATCTGTAGTTTCATATGGATGCTGTAAAAGCTTCCTAATAATGGACATTTGGAGGCATTGTTTATAGTTCATTAGATATGCTAAAGTGTTGACATTGCAATGACAACTGACTCATTTGCATTTTTTATAATTTTGTTTGAATTTATAGATAGTTTATCCTTTTAAGCTTAGTGCTTTTTGGTGATGTGATCCATTACTGTTGAAGAAAAACACTTTCAGATTTAAGCCTGAATGAATTCAATTGTTGTTTTATCTTTACTGTTCTATTCTACTGGCTTGTCTCTGACTATCTTTTGAGATATGCTGTTGATCAATTAGTGATCATAGACTGTTCTAGACCTACAATTATCTTGGAAATGTAGTAAAAAAAAAAAAAAAAGTATGGCTGTTTGGAGTACCAGTTGTACCCTGTCTTTTTGATTGCAATCTGTGAGACTACCGTGAAACTCATCACACAAAGCACGACCATACGACTCATCAGTGTCTGCAGCCCTTCTGATATTCTCTTGCTCATACTCATTTTATTAAGTGGCTGATGCTCAGAAATTGGCATAAGCCACAAATTTGTCTTGGAAAATCTCCAGGCTCTGAGATAAAGTTGTTCTTAAATAGCAGATTGGACATATTTTCTATGTATTTTGCACATGAGACATGTATGACCATGTTTCGTTCCAGGTGGTAAGCCTTTTTCCCTTCTACAGGAACTGCTCTTGGACAGCATGGTATTAGTCTCAGCATATGGGTTCTGATGTTTGAATTGAATGCTAACAGAAAAAAAAATTAGTAAGATTTTATGTGTCTTGAAAATTATTTGACTTAATTTCATCATTAAAAAAAAACATCAAAACGTATAATGAAAATTACTAATGTAACAATTTTTATGAATTGTGAATGGCAAACATTTGGAAAGATAATCTGAAAATTTTACTAAAATACATTTTACTAGATGTTCTTTTACATTAGGTCAATCGTTAGGTATTTTAATAGTTAGATAATCATAAATCAGTTTAGCAAGAATTTACTTAGAACAGGTTGATTATTATTTGTCATGGATTGATTGAATATAAATAGTTCGTTCCTGGTGGAAAATATAACACTGTTTCTTGCAATATTGTTAAAATAAAAAATCAGCATATTTCAATCTGATCACAATGTATCTTCATTATACTAAGAGAAATTATTATCTTAACATATTCATAATGTCGTTGAAGTTTTGCTTTTAAAAAAATGCTGAAAAGATTGTTCAGAAAGTTTTGTCTCTGTTTAAAGTAGCTTAACATTACTTTTTATGTCTCCACCTAATGGACTTTGTCTTTCTATTCATTGTCAGTTTGATATTCTGTTTGTGTCATACATTTATTCTTAAATTTATACTGAATTCTTGTGTATTGCTACAATAATTACTTTGGTATATGAAAGGTGTATGCTCATTGTTTCTTGTAGGCTTTTGGGGATCACTCAACTTGTTTACACTGATTGTGCTATTCCTTGGGATATAGAACTTCATAGTGACCAAGTATTCTGGCCAGGATTTGTCAACCCTGGTATCCTTTTGCTGTTATACTGGATCCTTGCCTTTCAATGCCGACATTTCATCTATGCTAAAAGTGACAGAAGATTGGTAAGTCTTTGTACAATCTTTATATATGAATATAAGCTGAATTTGTTGTAAATAAGACAGCAAAAGATGCCTTTTTTTAAAAATTTGTTTTATGGTAGAATACTATAGTTTTCAAATGTACATTTGTGACTGTTTTATTAATCTGATGCATTTACCAAAGACTTGTATTGCCTAGTTTTTCCAATGAAATGCTGTTCCAATTTTTTGAGTTGTAATTGGAGTCTGCTTGTACAATAAAGCAAGTTTTTCTTTTTATCTAATTCATTAAATTCTGCCATCAAAACTGATAACAAATTTTAAGTCCCTACTGTTTTTATGTGTGAATATTTATATAAATAAATCTTGAGTTCAAGGGAGATAACTCTAATACAGCAAAATGTTAGACATTACAAATAAAAAGCCATTAAAGTTATTTTCTTTATACGTCATTGAATGTGTAAATCCTATTCAGTTTTTCAATTTTTGTTTTATTTTAATTCTTAATATTAAACTCTTTTTGTTGCTTCTTAAAGACACTTTCTTTTTAATGACATTAGAAACTGAAAAGTAGAGAGATGCAGTTAGAGGAAATATAGTAACAATTCTTTAAAAAGTAAAAATGTTTTAAACATAGATGATTATTATTTTTCTCATATTGCTGTTAAGATGCACTACTGTTTCATGATAGTTGTTAAATCTTAGTCTGGCTAAGATGGAACTAAAATAGTGGGACTTAAAATATAGGTTCAGAATCACTAGCAAGTATTTTTTTTTTTTTTTTAAATTTTATTTTTTAACTTTTATATTTTAGACTAATTTGCTAACTATTGGTCTATGTTGGAATAATTTTTAATTATATGTTGTAGTAAAAAACTTGTTAAAACTTTCCTTGACTATTTGAATATTTATCAAGTGATGTCAGCAGAGAATTTTTATAAAATCTTTCTTGAATGAAGGGTTCTATGAATTTACAGAATTACAATATTATAACAAAATGTCATGAAGTTAATTCCATTTCATAAATCATTGGAAAATTGCAGCTAAGACATTAGTGTATTTTGCTGTTTTCCTGCCTTTATCCAATCAACATGTACAATTTCAACACCACTCACTTACCTGTCATAGTGGAACAAAAGAACCATGTGATGAGTGAGCTATGGAAGAAAGGTTTATTCTCCCATTTTCATTTCCCATATTATGGGCATTATTATATCCACAATATAATAACATCGTAATCCACAGACAGAATGGAATGGCTGAAAGAAAAGGAATAACAAACATGCTTTGTTCTCAGAGAGAATTTTATACTGCCAAGTCATACACATATATACATTTGTCTTACACAGAGAAAATATAACATGTCTACACAACAAGAATTATGAAAAGTTGGGGTCTTACATACAATATGTAGATTCTTCTGTGTTTCTGGAGATTCTTCGATTCTTTTGAAGAAGCCAAATTAAAACTTTTTCTTTTTTAATTAAAGAAATTAAAACTTTTTCTTTTTTAATTAAAGAAATTAAAACTTTTTCTTTTTTAATTAAAGAAATTAAAACTTTTTCTTTTTTAATTAAAGAAATTAAAACTTTTTTTTTTAATTAAAGAAATTAAAACTTTTTTTTTTTTTTAAAACTTTTTTTTTTAAAGAAATTAAAACTTTTTTTTTTTTTAATTAAAACTTTTTTTTAAAAATTTTTTTTTAATTAAAGAAATTAAAACTTTTTCTTTTTTAATTAAAGAAATTAAAACTTTTTTTTTTTAATTAAAGAAATTAAAACTTTTTTTTTAATTAAAGAAATTAAAACTTTTTTTTTTAATTTTTTTTTTTTAATTAAAGAAATTAAAACTTTTTCTTTTTTAATTAAAGAAATTAAAACTTTTCTTTTTTAATTAAAGAAATTAAAACTTTTTCTTTTTAATTAAAGAAATTAAAACTTTTCTTTTTTAAACTTTTCTTTTTAATTAAAGAAATTAAAACTTTTTTTTTTTAATTAAAGAAATTAAAACTTTTTCTTTTTTAATTAAAGAAATTAAAACTTTTTCTTTTTTAATTAAAGAAATTAAAACTTTTTCTTTTTTAATTAAAGAAATTAAAACTTTTTCTTTTTTAATTAAAGAAATTAAAACTTTTTCTTTTTTAATTAAAGAAATTAAAACTTTTTCTTTTTAATTAAAGAAATTAAAACTTTTTAATTTTAAAACTTTTTTCTTTTTTAATTAAAGAAATTAAAACTTTTTTTTTAATTAAAGAAATTAAAACTTTTTTCTTTTTAATTAAAAATTAAAACTTTTTTTTTTTTTTAATTAAAGAAATTAAAACTTTTTTTTTTTAATTAAAGAAATTAAAACTTTTTTTTTTAATTAAAGAAATTAAAACTTTTTCTTTTTTAATTAAAGAAATTAAAACTTTTCTTTTTTTTAATTAAAAGAAATTAAAACTTTTTCTTTTTTAATTAAAGAAATTAAAACTTTTTCTTTTTTAATTAAAGAAATTAAAACTTTTTCTTTTTTAATTAAAGAAATTAAAACTTTTTCTTTTTTAATTAAAGAAATTAAAACTTTTTCTTTTTTAATTAAAGAAATTAAAACTTTTTTTTTTTTTTTTTTTTTTTTTTGTGAAGAGTTCAAGATTTTCTTTTTCTGAAACAAAAGAATTAAGTTCTTTAAGTTGTTTGAACAAAATTCCCAAATCCTAAAAAGAACTGTGTTATAGAAATTTAGGGAACATTTAATAAATAAATTTTTTAGGATCAATTTAAAAAAAAATGCCACTTTATAGAACTTTTTGTAACTGTAGATTATTGGTTCATTATTAAAGTTATTTTATTTTTAAATTTATTTTGGTAATTATTAGAACGCTTATTTTTTTCTTTTCAAGCTATTGTCAGAGAGAAGTTCAAGTAAAGTAAGTCATGCACTTGAAGAAGGAAAAGCACATTGCAAATGTTTTGTCTGCCTTCAAAAAAAATCTCCCAACTTTGTCTTTAATAATTTATCTGATGTATTTCCTAAATGGGAGCCATATAGCTGCAAAAAAATACTTTGAGAAGTTTAATGACATGGACATAAACATTATGTTCAGTATTTTATAACTATTTGAATTTGAAATTCAAAAATCATACTTGCATATCTTGCTACATTACTAACATTTTTCATCTTTTAATGCCAGTTTTGTTGAGAACATTGTTTTCCACAAAGGTTTTGCAAAGTATTTAACAATTTTGAAATAGCTGTGCAGTTATTTAAAGAATAATTATTAGTCTGTATAGTTTGATCGTATTTAGTTCAATAATTATGTCACTAGCTTTTTAAGATAATCATTAAAACCTACCATAAAACTTGAATAAAAGCAACAAATTGAAGTACTTTATGAATTCATACCTTCTTCTTTATTAGCTTATGAATTTTTAATTGAAGAATTGCTTGAGTTATTTTTTTTGTGTGTGTGTGGAACAAATAGGAAACATTTATGAATTTAACATGTTTCACATTTATTAAAGCTTCATAAGAAATGCCTTAATAAAAGTGAAACATGTTAGATTGATAAACATTTCCTATTTGTTCTTTATCTTATCATTCTGTTGGATTCTGAACAATATTTGATCTGTGTTTTAATCTAAATTTATATATATGCACATACAGAGAAAAATTTAAGTTAATATTTATTTGGATAAATATATTTCTAATCTTCAAATTGGTTACCTTGATATAAAATAATTGGTTAAGTCTGCTGAAAAATTTTAAATTCTGATGTCAGTGTGTAAGGACTAATCAATTATTATAAGTCATTATTATCAAGAACCACGCCAGTGTTTTCAAGAATGTCTTGCTATTGTTACCTTCAGTGTTGTTATGCATTTTTGTTGTTTCTTTTGTAATGATAAAGTGCATGTTTCCTTTTCACTGCCCCCCCACCTACAATAATGAATATTAAATGCATGTATTTGTTTTTTTCCTTACAAGTGGTGATATGTGAAAATAAATATATAATCTAACTCATTACAGTAGATCTTTAATTTAAAGACTATGAATGTGAGAGCACACAAATGATCATTTGCAATTCTTAGCCTCTTCATCCTAGTATCATTTTTTATTGTTGATGTTGATCAATTATCTCTAAACTAATAGTATAGGAAATTGGATCACTTTTTACTAAAATTATGGTTTTCCGTAAACATTTTTCCTTTGGAATTACTAAGGTAAAAAGTTGAGTTAATGTTCTGTATTTAAATGAAAATATCTAAAACTTAAAATTCCATTCAGTGCTATGAAATAAAGGACCTTTTGGGAACTACTCTGCATAAGTTCTTCTACAAATATTGGTAACATTTTTAACACTTTATGAATATATAATGTTTTCAAGATGCTGTGAAATTTTGGTCCCTAATATTTGTGCTTTGAACTAACTAGTCCTATTTCCAAACCAGTGTAGACATAGTTACATACAGTACAGCATTTTTTGTGACATTTTTAAAAATTATATTGTGTGTTGAGGGCAGCTGTTTAAGCATAATCTGTATGGTAGGGTATCCAATAGAATCCAAAATGGCAATGCTCATGAGAAATTATCATCAGTATCTTTGTAGTAATTTTCTGAGTAAATGACAATTTATTATTCCCAAAAAGGACCAGCACAGCCAGGCAACAATGCTATAACAATGCAATAGTGAAAGTGTTAATTGGAATTTGTGCAGTAGTGACAGTATTTGATGTTAGAAAAATCTCATGATTTGGTTATGAATATATTGATAATTTAGAAATGTCCTTGTATGTAATTACTGTTAAAAAAAATAAAATTAATATGATTGGCTTATTCGTATATTCATTTTTTTTTTTCTTTAAATATTTGGCATGTCATATACCTCCACCCCTGCTTGTGTTGCATGGTGTGTACCCCTCATGTTGCCCTTTTTTATATTTTTGCTTTTCAGGTTTCTGACTCTAAACTGGATGCCACCGTTCCTAAACGTCGTATCCGTCGCCGCCGCTACTCTGGAACAGAGCGGCAGGTATTGCCGCAGAATGCCGAGGAGGTTTGGTGGAATTTCAGCTTGAAGATGTTCTCGTTGTTGTGGGGGTGCTCTTCAGTTGAATCATATCACAGCATGCGCTCCCTTTTTTTTGTTTTTAATCTTTTTTGAAAAAGAAATAGCTGCAGCAAGGGAAACACCTTGGAAGCTCTCACTCTAGTCTTGCATGCTTTTATCCTTATATGTTTGTCATTTGACATTATGGTCAATATCTATGCTATTTCTATAATCATCTACACTTTAACACCTGATATCATCTCTTCTCAACTAATTGCTGATTTGTAACTGTTAATCACCGTGTTTGTACTACCATTCTTTCCATGCTGATTACTGCATTTATTACTCTCACTGTATTTTAAAATTTTTCTCTGAATTTCTAGGATGAGGAGTTAACATTATTTACACTATTTATATTCAGATTATTGTCCTCATCTTGTTATTTTTATCACAACATTTTGACCGTTGTGCTCTCTGGCCTTCCCCACATGTTTATTGATCTGGGTAACCTACAGGGAATTCCAAACTGAACCCTTTATTTAATATAAATTAAATAAAGGGTTCAGTTTGGAACTCCCTGTAGGTTACCCAGATCGATATACACCTGAGGAAAGCCAGAGGGCATAATGGTTGAAACATAACAAAAAGAAAATGTATGAGTACAATAGTTCGAATATAAATAGTATGATTTAAAACTTAGTGTCACTAACTATTATTAGTTTGTTCATTTTAGTATTTTTTATTTTCTTTAGATTTTGTAATAATCACTATTATGTCTACTTGAATTTATTCTGACCTAGTTCTGTGACATCAATATTGTAGTAAACATGTGATTCCTTTAATGCTTTATCTGAAGATATTAACATCTTTTAATGTCAAGGTTTTTGCCAGATAATCAGTTAAATTTCTCTCTCTTTCTCTGTACTAACTTTGGCTCCTCGTCCTCTCTAGGTTTACATCTTTCTTTTGCACTTATCTCTTAATCTGTAAATATTAACTTCTAATGAAATAGGATAATTATAACAATATATTGTTAGCTTCAGTTTCGTACCTGGAATATAAACAACAGTAATTTTTTTTTGAAAGGATAATAATTTCTTATTACTATAAATGTTATTTTTAGTGGGTACTAGTGTTTGAGTTGTTACCTCTGTATTTTTAATTTTATTAAACAGTGAAATTAATAACATCCAACCTAAACTGAGAAATCCTATTAAAAAAGAAATTCAATCTTCAACAATCTGCATCCCTTTTTATCTTGGAGAAACCACTTAAGCTGAAGCATGCCTCTACCAGTTTGTCCATGGATCCTGATGGACAGGACAGTCAAAATAACCTGTTCAAGAATTCACATGAGAACATAAAGTGGTTGTCAGCAAGAACAAGTACACATTTTGAGTTGTAATTTTGAAGAGTCTGCTCAAAGTAGTGGAATGGTACAAAAATATAATTGACTTGTCACTTGTTTCTGTGACATCAACCAATTTTGATTTGATTTTTGTCACTTGAATATTAATTTGAAAAGAAATCTTGTAGTTGTTCCTTAATCACCATAGAGAATCTTTTTCCTTTCATCAGCATGGCTGATGCTAACCTCCAGGAGAGCAACTCATTGCAGTTTTTGGTTTCATATTTTCCACTGACATTGCTAGGTTTACTGTTATGAAGTTGATTCACAGGCAATTTTTCTTGTCAGTGTCCACCTTACACATTTATAAATCTACCATTTGTCCATGTAGTGAATGAGAACAATCTACCTAACTTCCAGGACTGAATTAAGGGTTCAATTTGAAATTTCTAGAAGGTTACCAACTGATAACCATTCTGTGAAGGCTGGAAAAAAACATGAAACGTGTTAAAACCAAGATGAGGATACAAAATTGTACAGATTGTTTCTCCATCTCAAAATTTCAAACAAGGATTATTTCTACTTAATTAATCATGTCCATTTTAATAATTTCCTTTAAGTAATATTTTATGCAGTGCCACCAATAATATCGGCACAGCTTGACATTAGTTAATAATTAACAGTACGACATTTTCTTTATCCTTGTGGCTTTTATAGCTTTAGGTGCTGTTCACTATTTGGGTGTGACAAAAGGAATAAATTAGTTATTTGTACTTAGTTATGGTTAAACAGACTTGTATCCCACTGGTAGGCAATCAAATATTTAAGAACTTCATATCATCACCTGCCTGATGTGTGTAACTGCTAAGTTGGTCTTCTCAATTGGAACTGCTAACAACTTTATTGTAGACTTGTTTTGCAATTATTGGTACAATTAGCTATATATGTTATAAAAAGTACTTCATATATTTTAAAAAATAAATGTAGCGTAAATAAAGATATTTTAACATAAACCATATTTAGTGTCTTGCTATATAGAATTTGTTCGGTTGTGTTTTATAGCTTACTTTTATTTATTTATTTATTTATTTTTTTTTTAAATCCTTTCACCTCGAGCAAAGTGAAAATGGTACTAAGACAAGGGGTTACTGAAAGTGAAAGAAACTGAAAATAATTGAGTAAGAAGGACATTAAGAGGATAAGATTAAAAAAAAAAAAAAATAGAAGATGACGATTAATGTTGCATTTAAATTTTTTTTGTAGTTTACAGGAAAGCAAGAAGCTGGAAGAGAGTTCCACTGACAGGAAGTGCTAGAAAAGAAACTATTAATTATTGCTCCACCACCAAAAAAAAGACAAAAACATCTTGGCAATTTGACTGCTACTTAAACATGTTTAGTCTTGTCTTTTAGAATATTTAGCACTTCAAAAAAAATGTTCTTATTTTTGTTGGTTCATTTAACCATTACAAGTTCATAAAATTTAATCACTTGAGACTGGGATAATTAATTTTTTTTTTTTTTTTTTTCAAAGCATTTCACCTCAAGCAAAGTGGGAGAGTCACTAGCATGCAGGTTGTTACAGAGAGTGAAAGTGAGGGAAAAGACTGTGTATAGAGGGGATTGTGGAAAGGATAAAAGAACAGGGATCACAGCAAGAGAAGATGGCAATTGATGTTACATTTAAATTTTTGAAGATTGCAGTTATCAGGGAAGCAAGTAAAAGGAAGAGAGTTCCACTGTCGGGAAGCACGAGAAAAGAAACTGCTGGAGTAGAAGTGGTGGTTACATTTAACTATTTCAACAGTAAAAGGGTGGGACCTAGATGCCAATCCAGCAACATGCTTAAATTCATGTAGTCAGGACAGCAGGGAAGATAGCTCATCAGAACAGTTGCCATGAAAATATTTGTAGAAAAGACAGAGGGAAGCCACATCATATTGATGAGAAAGTGTCTGAAGTTGAGATGTCAAATCAGGATTGAATTCATTGTAGACCCTTCTTTGGATTTTGTTGAGAACCTTGAGATGAACAGTAGAAGTGCTCAAAAAAATATTAAGCTCAAGTCCTTGAGTGGCCCTCCCCCCAGGCAGTACCTCTCCTTTGGGAGGGGGCTGGGGTCAATCCCAGTGCCTGAGGTATTCCCAAAAGGTGAAGTGCTGATGGAGCATGAGCAATTTTCCATGGTATTGCTGTTAAACCCACTTTAAACTTCAGCCATGTGTCACATTTGGTAGCTATGTGGACCACTGAAAAATCCACTTATTTTTTCATTTTCAAAGAAATTTCTTACAAGATATATTGTCAGTTGGTTCAGAGTTGTTAAATAAAATTTATTTTAATGAAACTTTAAACCAAAGTATGAATCAAAACTTGGATGTGACTTACTTTTTTAATAGTATCTTGCATTTTTAGTATATCCCTTAGTGATTTGGACACTACTATGAAAGTATTTAAGCATCAAAACTAACCATTTGAATGTTTGAAATTAACAAGTTTAAAGGAAAAAAAAATACTTATTATTTTTTCTAATGTAGAATTAAGAATTTAAAAAAAAAATTTTAAGCAATAGTTCTTTAATTTTTGTCCATTAGAATTAAAAAAAAAAAAAAAAAAAATCAGATATAAATACTTGTCTATAGACAAGTAAATATATTGCATATATGAACATTTTTTTTTTTTTTTTTTTTTTTTTCAAGTTTTGTATGTAGAAAATTAAGCTTTACATATTGTATAACCAATTGTAATGTAAATCTCTTTTTCTTTTTATTTTGTTTAATTTATTTCTGTATAGTAGTTAATTTAGCTATATTGAATAGACTTATGTGTGTGCTAGTATTTCTTGCATTAGCTCACAACCATAAGGAATTTTATCCATTTCCAGCCAAAGTCTTGAACAGGTTCTTAGTTGTACTGATAGCATAGAACTATATTGTTTTTACTTCTTAATAGAAGATATTTTTTATTTTATTTTATTTTATTATTTTTTTAATTGTTTCATGCCAAGAAAGGTGATTGTGCTACTAGGATGCAAAAGGCTACTGGAAGTGAAAGAGAATGAGAATACTTTAGTGAGAAGTGTAGAGAAAGAACAATAAAAGAACAGGATTCCAGAAGACAGAAGATGGCGGTTGGCATTGTTTAAGCTTTTGAAGATTGTACATGGCAGGAAAGCAAGGATTCTGAAGAGTTCCGCAGACGAGAACTACAATAAAAACTATTAGAATAGAACATATGGTTGCATCAACAGTAAAATGGTGAAACCGAGTTGTCAATTTAATAGCATGCTTAAATTCATGTAGTTGACTCATCAAGGAGGAAAGCCCATGAAGATGGAAATATTTTTTAGAAAAGACAAGGAAGTCATATCATGTTGGTAAGAAAGTGATTGAAGCCAATATGCCACATTAGGATCAATTATATTGTGACCATAATTTTGTAAAGAATCTCAAGATATATAGTAGGATCACCAGACTAGATATGGCAGCCATATTCAATGCACAAAATGAATGGTAAATTTATAAATGCGTAAGATTGATTCTGACAAGAAAAATTGTATGGCATGACACAGTGAACTAAACTTTCTAACAACTGATTCAATTTAATCATTCCACTTTATATCAGTAAAAAACATGAGACTAAGAAGGCGTAAAAGAATTGCTAAAAGAATTTATAGTAACACTTCCATTCCCTTTAAAATGGAGTTTTTAAATTTTTACATTGCAGAATTTGAAATGTACTCTCTCCGAAACTTGGCAAAAATTTGAATTGAAATGAATAATATAATAAGTAAGTGTTAATTAATGGTAATTGTCTGCTCAACAAAAAAGATATTAGCATGGCAAATATTTCTGGTTGGCAAATAATCAATTTTAAATGGGGACATTTTTTTTTTTTTTGTTTTTTTCCATTGGAGAGCTGAATGGTTTTATATTCATTGATGTGTTCAATGATTCATTGAAATAAACCAATAGGAAGACATTCTATGTATGAAGCGCTGCTAACAAGTAGCGGATGTGTTAATTTAGGCTATACAAATGCAACGGAAATGCAGTGGAAGGCCTCACTTGAAGAACATTGTGCTGGAAATTCATTATGTTGATGGTATCTCATTTAATTACATTGAATTCATACTTGCTAGTGAACCTTGGACATTTGATTATGAGTCATATGTTAATACAACTGTGCTCAAGAAAACTGCTCCAGATATTAATGCTTTGAAATTTTTTTATTTTTATTTAACCTTTTATGTGTAAATATTTTAAAAGGGGATGGAATTTAATAATCGTAATTAAAATGGACATATTAAAACAAAAGGAAAGAATAACAGAAAAGTTTACATTACCATGAAGTGGTAATATTGAAAAGCAAATTAACAAAAAACAGAAGCAGCTGAATGGGTTTATCATTCCTCTCTTATTTGCGTTCATTAGAGGACAAGAAATGAGCACAGTGACTAAATGAATAATTACGGAGACAGTATGTTATATCATCATGGCTTGGCTTCACAAAATGAACATCATGAGGGAGTCTGTACATGTCACTTACAGACATGTTTGTGACTGATAAATCCAATGTGGACAGGCATGCATGGTTGCAATAGTTGCAGCTAAAAGTCTGACCTGGGCTTGATGACATAGCATTGCAGTACTTTCTCCTCTGCCTCTTGTACCTGAGAGAGGCCCTTCAGGTATTTTCAAATGAGACAGCATGGTTGGTGGTGAGACACAACGTGTCACGGTTCTCAGCTAGGGTTGGCCATTGGCAATGGTTAATGTGACAAAGAATTTTTTCAGGCAATCTTTGAATTGCTTCTTTGGTGCCGCTTTGCCATGATAGCCAGTGGAGAGCTCACTGTACAATAAAATAAAGACAGTATGTTATATAATATATAAACATCAATGGCTAATACTTAAACCTAACATCCACTCCTGATAACAGTGGGATTGCTAGAAGGATTTAATATAAATTGACCCTAAAAGGTAAAAATCAGTGTGAGCTTTCTTCAGTGTCAAGGACATATCTTGGTTATAGTACTTTGTACACTGATAACTGTTAAATGTTCAATTATTACCAACCCAGATGAATTAATGTAACCTATATAAATTGTCCAAATTGTTTTTCTGAATATTGTGTAGCATTTAAAAAAAAATAGGCAGGTGATTTTTTTTTTTTCCATATTGCCCAAATATTTACTTTGAACCCCACCCTCTAAACTCAGTAGTAATAATAGCTGCATAAAGAATACTCATATTTCCATGTGACATGCTTTCTTTTGGATAAATTAGAACTTTTTTTTATATTTGTCATAAATCTGTCATTATTCAGGTATTTTATATTCTTATTGTAGTGAATCTTGTTTACTAGTGTTTTCATTTGAAACCACTGCTCTTAATCTTACATTTTCATACATAAGAACTCTTCTTAAAGATCACAAAAAGAAATGATTACCTATCAGATGAAACTACGTTATCATATGACTTGGGTATTTCTAGCTATATTCATTTTCTTTTATTGTTCAAGGAGGTACTACAAAGCTCTTGACCACTTCCAAAATATGACCGAATATCAGATTTTGTTTTGGAATCCTTTCTTAGTTGGGATGAGAACTTTTCAGCTGCCCCCACAAATATTAATTTTTGGCACTTCTGGTTATTTGAATAAACATTGAAATATTTAACTGCCTGCTAGATTGTCAGTCAGATTTAATTGTCTTCCAGATTGTCAGTCAATACAAGCCTGTTCAATTACTTTTATCTATTAAAATTTATCAAAATCACAAGGTCCTTTTTTTTTTTTTTTTTTTCTTTTTAAATATTGTTACTTACTCCTCTTTCACCCACCTTGAATTCCACTTTAACATCTCTTTAAAAGGCATGTGCTCAAACTCTTTGTCTTTCTGCTTTATAACACTTCAGCCAGTCTGTTCTCTGATTTGTCTGGTACAAATGATTTTCTTAATTTGCTTCTGGCATAAATTGAAAAAGAAATAGCAATATATACTGTTGAGATTTTATTAAAGTTTAAATAAAACTGATGGCTTATAAGGAAGGCTCATTAATCCATAGAGTATATTATAAATTTTGAATGCATCTGATTTGAGATAAAAGTTATGAAATCTCATTCTCATGTCATTGCTATACTATAGAACCATACTGTGAGTACTCAAAATACTAAAACAAATTAGTCAGTGTTAAGTTTTATTGACTTTAAACTTACTTATTACAAATAGCAGCCAACAGATTATTATGAAACTGCTTATAATTTTTTTCTAGCTTCTTTTGAGTTGAGCCATAAACTCTGAAAAAGGTGCACCAGAAGTTTTATTTGAAATTTAAGTATTATAAAGAGGTAGTAATTTACCTGTGTAATATTCTAATTAGTAAAAAAAAAAAAATGTTGAATTAGTTCAATAACACTTGACGATAATCAAAGAACAAACTGCTTGAAAAAAAAAATGACAAGAAAGAACATTTGCATGCAAATCCTATTGATGTTCACTTGTCTCCCTGCTTGGGTTGTTCATTGTAGTGATTGCTTCCTTCAGTGTATTCCATTGTAAGACATTGTTTTAATGGCATGTTGTTTTTGTTTTATCTCACCCTGTAGCTGCTGGGTGAGATAAATGATGTGCTTTTGTTTCACTGGCAGCTATCATCAGAACAGAAAAAAAAACATGTCCACAAATTCCACCTAACCTGCATTTTATAATAGTTTTTTTTTCTTTAAATTCTTTTTGACATCTATCTCTAATGTTTTGCTAGTCTTTTTTAGAATGTTGTAGAATGTCTGAAATTTAAGAAGTGTGTGCGTATATATATATATATATATATATATATATATATATATATATATATATATATATATATATAAATGCTTTATTACCTGCACCAAAAAATGTTCTTTCTGAAACTTGATTAAGAAAGGCAGAGTAATATTTAACATTCACAAGAAAATAGTATGAAGCTGTTCTAATTATAACCTATGAAAACATTGACTTAGCATTGCTTCAGAAAGTTTCATTAATTGCTTCATTCTGTTTTTATTAATTGTATATATTCATATCATGGACACACTCATCCTAAAAATAATTTGTCTACTATATTATAAGCAAACTTAGTTTTTATAATTTGTGTTTGAACTATAAGTAATTTTTGTTTAAATATGCCTTAATGTCAAATCTGAATTAGGAATATCATGGAAAACATGTACAGATTAACCTGGTAAAAATACAATTATTTTCTAACCTTTTAACTTTTTATTATTCCAGGTTTCATTTAGATTGTTTTATTTTACACTGATCTACTTTGTGGAATATTCATTTGAATTTGAAGAGATTTAATTCTGCAATATATAGCAATCTTTTATTTTAGAACATGTACTGTACATTGTATCATGAGAAACTTGTAAAACTTACAAAAATGAATGGTATATTCCCACTAAACTTTGACTAATAATTTTCAGATATTATAAGTATGTTTACTTTCAAAGAAAAAAATCAATAAATTTTAAGTTGTCATAATATACAATACAATATTAATAATTGATCTACATAGGCAAAAATGAGATGCTCAATATTTATGCATGTTTGTATGGCTTCTCTTGAAAAGATAAGTAAATTTTGGATGGTAAAGGTTTAGGACTGGATTAGAAAAAAAATATATATTAAAAGAAGGAAATTTTGCATAGTTTGTGCTTGTCTTATATGTACTATGAATGAATTGTATCATACTTTGAATGTATAGTTTTCTTACTTTGATTCTGCTGATGATTTTCTTTTAAGACTATATGACTTTGGTCCTTTGATTTTGATCATTCATTTCTTGTTTTTTATACATTGATAGTTCACATTCAAGAAACAGATCAAAATTTTCTTTTAATATTTTTTCCAATTTGTTCCTTGCTCCTTAAAATAAAACAGAAGATGGTTCTTTTTATTTTTAAATTTATTTTTATTTTTTTAAATTATTTAATTTTTTAAATTTATTTAAATTTTTTTGAATTTAATTTTTTTAATTTTATTTAAATTTTTTTGAATTTAATTTTTTAAATTTATTTAAATTTTTTGAATTTAATTTTTGAAATTTACTTAAATTTTTTAAAATTTAATTTTTAAATTAAAATTTTTAAAATTTATAAAAAAAATTATTTTAATTTAATTTTTTTTGTTTACCTTATGTATACAGTTCAGTATATTTGATAATTTCACTAAGAACTCTGGAAGATGAGGACAGACTTGAGATAAGAGGACATTACTCATAATATAAATTAAACTTTAAAATGTAATACCTTTCACACACACACACACACATACATGCATATATATATATATATATATAGGCAACTTAACTTTCATTTCACCATGTTAAACTTCAGTGAACTAGATAAAGTGTAACAATTTCCTACAGGAACATTATGCTTTGCAACCTTTTTATTTATATATCTTTGATAGTCATGATGTTATTTTAGTATTAATTATAATATTTTGGTGCTATCTTAATTTTCACCTGTTATTTTTGAATATAGGAAATTAAATGGTTTCAACAAATGACAAATTTTGAATATTTAAGATTTTCCTCCATGTATGCTCGCATTTTTTCCCTTTTCAGATCTTAGAGTCAAAATCATTGCTGAACATTCAAGTTGTGAGTAAGAGCAGGAACAATGTAGCTTCTTCTATTTTCGTTGCTACAGTAGGGGCACTTTCTTTATTCACTTCTCTAGTTCACTGCTAACCACTTGCCAACTGACCACATCTTTGCTGACTGCACACTATTAGATTTTCTATCTTAGTCTGTCAGGTTCTAAACAAAAGCACTAACTCAAAGTAGAGTTCTGATTTTGATAGCCTTTAAGTAGTTCTAGTCAAGATATCCAACAGTTGTATCATGATTTAATTTTTTTTTTTTTCTGCATTCAAACTATTTAGGAACTTTGTCAAATAATGAGCTTGTTTGTCTTGAAAGAATTTAAAATGTGTTAATACTTTAACCAATCTTCAGCCATGCAACACCTACATTTGCCAAGTGTAAACCATTTGTTGAGAGATACAAATATCTTGATTTTATTATTGCAAGAAAATGAACTGGCCTCATTTGGCATATACAACTAACTTACAGTTCAATCTTGTCTGTTAGATTGTGTCATTGATCACATTCAACATCCTGCTGCTGATGTCTTTACCACAACCCTGACGAGTGGCTTCTGAATACTGTGCTTTGTCAAAGGGCAAATTATTTGATATTCTCAGGTTTTAAATTCAGAGTTGTTGTTCTCTTATACTGTTTGCCAACCAATGCTTAAGAGCCTATTCTGTCTTACTATTTAACCTATAGCTAAGGGGAGAGATGGATTCATGTCTTTTCCAATGTATTTGCATAAGTGAATGTTTACAAACTCTACTGGAATTTGAACTTTGTTCTCTGATTTCACATTCTGTGTTGCTTTATATCATCCACATATTCAGAATATATAAATATGATTAATAGAAGCTAATGAATAAAATCATCTTTTTAATTACCATCAGCTGCCAAAGATGCTTCCTCTGAAAGTTTCATATCTTACCTGAAAGGCATCAGTATCCCAATGTTTGCTTTAGCACTTTCCTTAAAGAAAATATAATTCAACTCCATTTGATTACATTTCAAGAAGTAGCAGCTTCATTACGTTAATATGTAGTAAAGAATTAGTACCAAATTAAAACAAAACTTGTGTGTGTGTGTATATATATATATATATATATTATATATGCTTGCATTTTCTTCAAATGTAAGAACCAGTGGCACAAATTGCTTTCTGAATTATTAGTTGCTTTTTAGTGATGCAGCATATTAACATCTCAACTATTTGATGTTCAATTTTAAATTAAAACTATTAAACACATAGGCGTGATGGAAAAACTGTGGTTTAGCTCATTTCCTGAAATCTGATCAAACATCAGATTTTTCTTTTTAATTCCTTTTTCGTCAGGCTGCAAAATTTTTAAAATAATTATTTTTAATAGCCCCAAATTCAGTTGTTTGGAATTAATCTTTCAGCTGTTAAAATAGTCTTTATTTTTGTAGATGAAATAGAATGTTTCTTTTAGACCATTATATGATGTATAAGCTTTACATATTTGATAAGATTATTATTCAAACTGAAAATGCCTAAGAAGTGAAGTTGACTAATATATTATACAAATCTTTCCATGAAAGTTACATTAGTAAGCAAACATATTGACTAGCAAGCTCAGCTTAAATTATCCTAAGGGTCAGATTCATTTCTTTAGAATGAAGGTATAGATGAGGTAAATATCTTAGAAAACAATTTGCAAAATACCTCATTCTGTAAATATAAAAATAAATGTTCACTTTTAATTTACATTAACTTAAACAGTGTCATTTTGTGTGTGTGTGGTGGGGTATTTTTATAGAAAATTGTGTTAAGGCTTTCAACAGTTTTCATAAGTGGGGGGAAATGAAATTGGCACTGAATTGATTTATACTTTTCTTAATTTGCTATTCTTGTCTTGGCACCAATCTGACAAAGAGCTGCAACAAAGATTAATGAAATTGGCAGATCTTCAGAGAATTAGTTGTCTAAATGTCATTGAGTTATATATATATATATATATATATATTGTCTCATTGTATTTTTCATGTCTTTTGTTACCTATTCTCAACCCAAGTCACTGTGGACAGGAATAAATCCTTCTGATTGCTTTATAAACTAGGTTTATTGAATACCTTCATTGTATATTTCGAATAATACTTGAAACTCCTAAAATATATAATTATTGGTATGTTGTAGATTAAAGTTTATGTAATTACAGTCTGGTCAAATCACTAGACCAAATCTAATAAAAAAGAAAGTGTATATATTATTACAAAGCATACATGAAATGTTAATATCTAAAATTAATGTAAAACTTTAAATTATTGTAGATATTGTTTAATTCATTCATTTGATTTTGATGATGAAATACAAGAGAAACTATGAAAATTGTGAGATATATATAGGGGAAATTGTATGACAAAGTGGGGAAAAAGTTTACTTGTAACATCCTTTAGTTTTTAGCTTATTTTTGTTTAGTGTTGACTAATTCTATCACATTTACAATCAAAAAGAATTTATCTAAACACAACATAAAAGTTGTTACTATTACGTCCAAAACGATAAGACTTAGTCAGCATTAAACAAACCAATATGCTAAAACCTGAAGGTGTTTACTCCATTGCCTGTGATAATTGTCACAAAACATTCATAGGAGAAACCACAAGGAATGTAAATAAAAGATATGAACGCAAAAGGACCATTTTACAATGTAATACATCAAATGTGTTGGTTGCCCACCTTAGTGAGACTGACCACTACTGTGACATAAAAAAAAATGCTACTCTGATCAAAGGAAAAAAAAAAAAAAAATTCACTATGATGTAAATGTGTAGAGAGTGCTTTAATTGCAAGGTCATCAACAGTAAATTTGCTCCCTGGCTCTTACAGCATTTCACTATTCCTGGCAGATCTTCAGATATTATAGTGTGGAATGCCTACTCACAAAAGTGATGAAAAGAAAAGGCTCTATATGAATTCGGTTGATATGGGGGGAAAAAAAAATAAAAATAAAAATAATTCTAAAATTCCTGGCACCTCTGTCATGTGCATGTGTAGTCCTACCAACATAACAAATTTTAGTCCAATGAAATCCTGAAGGATGAAATGTGTCACAAGTAAACTTTTTCCACTTCATCATACAATTTCCTCAATACTGTTCTTGATATATATATATATATATATATATATATATATATATTGTTATCTTGTATATATGCAATTTCTAAAGAATTAATAGATTTTTATTATTTCAAACAGTATTTTTAGTGGATACCCATGTTTGAAATAGACACCTTGTTTTTAATTTAAACAGTGTGTATTACATTGATGGGTGTGTGCACTTGAGAAAATGCTAGAATAAATGGTGGTTTCACCTACAAAGAGGGGTGTAGGTTCATATCCTACCATTTAAAATTTCATGAGTGCACAGGCCCACAGATATAATACACACTGTTTAAATTAAAAACAGGATGTCTTTCAAATATGGGTATCCACTAAAAAATAATATTTGAAGTAATATATATATATATATATATATATATATATATATATATATATATATATATATATACACACACACACGTGTGTGTGTGTTTGAATAAAGATAAAATAACACTTAGCCAATGCCTTTTGTCCTCTGACTTCATCAAGGCAAATGTGAGGATTTTATTTTGCAAGAAGTATTTATAAACAAAAGTAAAAATGTTATTAGTTTTTCAGGATTAAGTTTAAGAGATGCTCATAAATATTTATCAAGCTAACTGAAAAATTTAGTTAAATTATGGAGGATGTTAAGTAACGTAATTTAATGCCTAATAAACGAGAGTGAGTAAATGATGTTGAATTTTTTTTTTTTTATGCAATTAATATTTAAATTATTTTAGTATGAGGTAAATTTATATAATGTGGCAATTGACTATAAAGCTGTAGATGTCCAGCAACTGAAATGTGATATTTGTGATAAGACGTATGTGTCCAGAAGTGGTTTCATGCAACATTTTAAATTACATGATAATGTAACACCTGCTGTTGCACCTCTTAAGTGCCCTAATTGTACCAGAGTATGTAAGTCCCTTGCTGGGCTAAAGAGCCACATTCGTTCAGGGCATCAGTAGATACCAAAAAGATAGGTAGTAATGGCCATACGTAGACACAAGTTGGCAACCACCATATATAGGGTGACAATAAACTGGCTATGCAGTTACTTATAATTAAAAGCAAAGCATTGAAGCAGGAAAGACCACACTACAAAGTTTTTGAACAAATTCTAGCATCCACTCCAACTGAACATGCTTTGGTTTTTCTCGTACAAGAAAAGTTTCTGTTGGGATGAGATGGTGAACACACAGAACAACTGTTGGCTTGATGTGTCCCCAAAAGATTACTGAGAGTGATAAAAACAAAATATCCAGTCAATGTCATGGTGTTTGGAGTGCTCACTAGTGATGGCAATGTTATGCACCATTTATCTTCCCACAGGGACTCAGACTCAACACAGATTTACATAAAGTCTCTTGAGGAGGTAGTGCTGCCCTGGGTCAAGAGGGTGGCTGCTGGAAGACCCTATGACTGGCAACAGGAGTCTACATCATGCCACACAAGCAGGAGAACCCAGTCATGACAGTCTGACACTTTCTGTCAGACCACCCTTTACATCTGGTCACCTATCTCTCCAGACTGCAACCCAAATGATTATTATATTTGGGGCACAGTTGAGCAAGAGACCAACAAAATTCCGTGTAACACCAAAGATGAATTGAAGGCAAGGATTATGGAAACATTAACCAACTTAAACAAGGAAACCGCCCAGAAAAATTGCAGAAGATTCCAGTTGACTGGAGGCCGTGGTTGAAGCCAGTGGCAATTTTTATTGAATAAATTTACTCTTTAAAGATTTCAAGATATTTTTGTTTAATTTTGGTAAATATTTGCCAAAATGAGATGTCAGTACTTTTTTTATTTTTGTATAATTTAGATGACAATTTATTCATCGCACCCTGCATAATGAACAACACTTGTATAATAAACTTCAAAGAAGTTACAGTAAATTTTTCTTAAAAAAGAAAATAAGCTGAACTTCACATGAGATATATATATA